TTAGGAATTGTGACAAAAATATGAATAATTTGAATAAAAAAACCAATGTTAAATGTTTGACTCCAGCTCCTTTCAACCCTCATAACTCAGTCCAGACTGAGATTTCCATATATGAGCCCATAGACAATTTCGTTTGTAATGTCATTCTAGATAATATTTTCCATAAATCATCGACTGCCGCCAGAAAAAAGAAAGGCACCAATTTTAGTCAATGCCCTTTATCGCCTATTATTTCTTGAAGAACTAGGCAGAAGTGCACAATTACAGTACTCGCACATTTTCCACAGATACCGTAGTTAAAATAATTTCAGATCCCACGAATATGTCATTAATTTTTTCGATCAAAAGGTTTTTGGTGAAATAAATATAGGTAAAGTTTGTCGAGTTGTCGACTAAAAATACATTGCAATATTTCTCGTGCAACATACTGTATTGAAACGCAGCAGCACCCCCTCCCTACTATTTAAAGCTGCGCAACCCGCTGCTAACGACCTTTGACCTATTTCTGTCTGCAATGCTATCTAGTTTATTGGTTTTGAGCCGGCCACTATGCATTCGTGTTTCATTCTCAATCAACTGAAACTTGTGTGTATTTCACTATTTGATGAACTATCTATTTTGGCGTTATAATCATAACTATAAATGCGTAATTTACATTTATATTTAACTAGCGACCCGCCCCGGCTTCGCACGGGTGCAATATGCATGTATTATACATAAAAACCGCATCAAAATCCGTTGCGTAGTTTTAAAGATCTAAGCATACATACGGACATACAGCGAAAGCGACTTTGTTTTATACTATGTATTGATGTACGTGTTTGTCACTTCTTCACGCAAAAACAGCTGGACGATGTGAATTAAATTTAACATACTAGCCTATTTACAATGATAAATAGGTAGGTGAAGCTGCTGGAAGAAGGCTAGTTATTGTAATAATTCATTATTGCATACAAACATACATGAAATTTTCGTCAGCATAATTTTCCTTTTATTTAAGTTTTTGATGTATATTTTCCGACTTATCAATTTACTAGATGTACCGAAAAAAACAATTGAGTCTACAATATTTCAAAGGCATGTATGATAAAATGAAGTCATTATTAAATAATATGATAACGCTTTTCCACTTCAAATTGTACAATAAAGAAAAATATAGGTTTGTACGTGTTGATGTAGATGCACATTAAGCAACAACAAATGAAATGAATTAAAATAAAGAAACAAATTCAAACGAACATAACCTCATTACTTGGAATGAATCTGTAATATTGTTCACTATCTAAGTATTGACAAGAGAAAAAATGAGATATTTTCAGCATCCGTGCGGTACGTGTAAATACCGGGGCGTCGACGCCCGTCCGTGACCTCTTATTCTTCCTCATGTTATAAAACTCCGCGCTCTATTGTCCAGGAATAATTCTGATTTGACTATCGTCGATTTTTAGCATGATACCCATTATTGCTGATAATGATAGCAGATATTAGAAAATAACGATTACTGATAAAACGTAAGCGCATAGCATAGCCTAATATTGACATGGTTCCAACGGAGTCGTGCTCACATAGATCGTTATTGTTTACACAACATCGCCGGTCTTACATCGCGGAAATTCGTTTACATCTAAGCAGACCTACACCTATTTAACAGTTCGACAGTTTGCTTATCGGGTGCGAAAGGCTTGTCGATAAGGTAGCGTGCGCGCGCGCAGCCGTCAGTGCCGCGAGCGACGCCGGCGCACCCGCCCATCACGATTGAGTACCGACAACGCAACGGCGAAACGCTGAAAACCGAAATTCGTAACGTGTTTAGAAACTCAAAACAATATTATACAAGTGATATGTGCCTGAACTACCGCTGTCGACTATTGTTTTCTAAACCAACGTGTTGTGACAAAGATTGCTTTTACGTTAATTTGTGCGGCTAAACCAAACTCTGCGTCGGTTTATATACGTGAGTTTAATTGTTATTACTTAAATATTTATACGAATCTCATAAAAATATTGTCAAAGTGCGACTGCTCATAAAGCAATAAAATGTTACTCGCAGTTACACGGAGAAGGCTGAAAGAAAATAAAAATAATGTTGTTGGCCGACGTATCGATACGAGTTCACGCACCGGCGAAATGTTTGTTTATTTTGTTAACATACAATGAGTAGCTAGTCGTAGATTACCTGTGTTAGCTGAATGTTTATGCTCGAGGTACTGATGCCAAATTCCGTGATGGGACAAGTGACGTCACAATTGGGTGCCAACAACACGGAGCCGGCTCTACCGCTCGCGCATTATTTTCACTGACCTTTCTAATTTCACTCATCTCTGCTATGCTATGCACTAATACAACACCACACATACTAATACAATATTAATGTTATAAGTTCAGTTTACATTGAACGCTGAGATCCAGGAATTTATAATATTTACACGAGAAACCATGACAGTTTGAGCTCCTACAAGTAAAGGAATTATAAATATTTTCTTCTTTGTCTAATTACTATTGTTTTTGTAATAGTACTAGCCTAGTAATTAGTACACAATTGAGACTGTTTATTTTTGACGGCAATTTGAGAAAAAAATATTGATTAAATTTGCATATTGCGCCCAGTTTTAATAATTCCCATGTAGCAGATGTTTTATGTTATGAAATAACTGACATTGACACAATTGGTAGATGTGTATTTCCGTATTCACTTGCTGAATACTTAAAGTAAATACAATAATGTCTTGAGTAAATTGCTAATATTTCAGTGCGTTTATAAAGACAAATCCTATTCGTTATTACATATAACACAAACATTAATATGCACTAAAAATGAAATAAAATAATCAAATAAAAATATATAAATAATAATACTTACCCTAAACTCCTAAAGTAGGAAAATTATAACAATCAGCAATGATATTTAATTATTAAATTATCGTTCATAAGTCGTAATTAATGAAATAAATCTTGAAGATCTTTAAAAAAATCTAACTGATAAACGTTAATTCATATTCAAACATTGTTGATAGGTACTTATATTTTAAATTCGATAAATGCAAGAAATACTCCAAGGGCAAAGAGAAACAAAATATTGGACGAATTGGACGTAAAAATAGTTATCTAGGTGACCATCACCGTTTAACGAAATAGGGTTATGCGTGGGAGTTGTTTTTCTTTCTTTACTAACGCATGTTTTAATTTCATTGCTCGCTCAGTCTTATAAATATCTCTGAACACTGTTACCAACCAAACGATGGTCATCAAAACTAAATTAGACACAGCGCTTTATCTGACGCTGAGTATGTAAACAATAAAATCATTAAAAGTTAATTTGATTAATGAGGATATCACAAGTAGGTACTGCGTCCATATTTTTGTGATTTCGGAGGTCATTGAACTTTATCGAGGTGCGATCGACTTATTTTCAGGGTTTGAGTAGAGACGCCTACTAAACATGAGAAATATAAATTAAAATGTATACACACGTTTCATTATGAAACGGGTATTTATTAAAATGCTTTAACCATTATCTCGTTCACATAACGTGTGATTATCATACATAATATTAGAATATGCATATATAAATGCCGTGGACGATCTCAGATATATTATTTAGCGAAAGTGTGGTCGTCTTGGTACTTGAGTTCGCAGTTAGTGGACCGCAAAGCTCCTTATAAAAAACTTAGAAATCAGAACCGTTAAGTAAAGGTTAGACGTTAGAGACGAGACACTTATTTTGTGTTATTAATGTCAAGAGGACAAACCATTTAATGTACTTGGTAAAATGAAAACAATACTGAATATGGGTAAATTTTGAGTTATGGTAGAAAATAATTATCTTATATGAATGGTTACGACTACCATGTTGGTTGGTTGGCCCATCGATATAGATATTTATATAAATACAGATCGATCATTTCAGGATGATATCTTATAATTTAAGTAAGTTTAATAATTACTTTCAAGTTTATTTCATTGATAGTCATATCGCGGAATCTGGAAGTGTGCACGGTACATAGTAGCCTTGACCCCGTATAACTTATGAATGACTTAAAATTTATAGTACCTAAGTTAAGTTTTTAATTTTTAACCTTTGTATTCATTGATTTGTCCCATTTTTTTGGTACTAGTTATTTTGGTTGTGACTCCATTGTTGATTCAGAAGTACCAAAGGAACTAATAATGTCCACGGCAGGCCAGTATGATTCAATTGCCGGAGATGAGCTATTACAATCTGAGTACCATCATCCGTGTGGCAGACTCGCTACAACAATGTCAGAATGCCTGCTCACTCATACTCCTTGAGACAACGAAAATTGAGAAAAACTTGGAACACTAAATAATGAAATTAAGTTTTACCTGTAGATTGAACGTCTTCGATCATTAAATAAATGATAAATAAATAATAAGCAGAAAGTAACAAAACAAGTTAATGATAAAAGTAGGTATAGTTAGTAATTGTTAATAACATCCATAGGTGTTAAAATAAAATGGACCATATTTTTCAAATTATAAGAACTAAGAAAACATAAATTACTGTCGTAATCTTAGGGACAGGAACATAAACATTTTTTTATACTTTGGAAATTTGGCTCAAATCGTAATTTTCAACTTTTGAACAAGTTCTGCAATTTCTAGATAAACCATAAGTTTTAGGGTGCTAGGTTAAACTATGTTAATCAGTTATCACCAAACAACTGAACCAGAATAGTCCAACAGAATGTGAAATCGAAAACTGATGTTAGGTGAAAATTACGGAAGAAATCATTACAAAAACTACGTAAAATCTTAGAACATATTTTGGGATTTGGATACCTACTTTTCATCATAATGTATAGATATTATTATATACTTTACGCTTGAACGACAACTCCCGGCCACCCTGTATGTAGGCACATCTATTCGATGGGTACGATACCACTGATTTTGTTTATCAATGTACCTTTGATATTTAGCAGGTCATTACTTAGGTACGTGTTGTTCATACTACACAGGTCATCGGCCGAAACCGCACTGGTTTCCGGTCTGAGACTCACCGACCAATCTACGGTGCAATGACAATAGTTTCTATACTTATATAACGGTATGAATATTGATATCATCATTATTTGGAAAAAAACGTATAATCAAACCAATATAGGTCGTAAGCAGCGGCAGGTCGCTACAAAGCCATCAAGGCGGTCTGTAAATCACTGGGCTCCCCCAACCCAAAAGTTAGGTCTCAACAAACGTTCAGTAATTGACCACTTCTGGTTTATATTATGATGACGATAAAAACACAACATAAATTGTTATTACAAGCACCAGAACAAAATGCAACAGCAATCAGTGATTTGGTAATTCATTTCTTGCAACTGTCAAAATTTAGTATCTAATAGCTAGTTGCTTCTGCTGATTCTGAAAGTAGGCACGAAGTGAATTAAGGTTCTTTAAATCACAGCAAAGACATTTTAGTCTCCTTAAAAATACTATACTAACACTGTTGACTATAACATTTAAAAAAAGTCTTACCACAGACATATGTATTAACTTTTCAACGCTTTTGGCACAACAACGTTTATTTGCAGACACATTTTGAAGAGATGTCCAAATTCCTTTATTTTTAAACACGTAACAGACGGAGATAACCATTCAAACATGTCTGGCTCTAAATATCCGGCAGACAGAACGTGTATAAAGGTCTGACACATGCCTAACCATAACAACTTTCATTATCCGATAACTGTACTCGCTATTTCTGCATGTTGCTCATTAGAACATCACTGTCACTCACTGCAGCTGCGTCTAACAAAAAACTTGATCGTCCCGTCGTCAGCTCGTCTCTAGTTAAATGCTTTAAATTAACCACTTACTTGAATATCTTACTACATTTCTGAGGGCCGATTTTCCAACGCCAGATAAATTTTAACTGAGGAATAATAATGACAATTCTTCCATACTAAAACTAAAACCATACTAAAACCTGTCAAATGTCAATTTTATTCCACAGTTTAGAATTAACTGATGATTACGTGAGACACAATAGAAAACACATTGTGTCTCGCGTATATGTAAGTACGTCCCCGGCATACCAGGGGTTATTGGGTATCATTCAACGCTAGTAAATGTACCTATGACAAGCTTTCTGTCCTTTAGGAGTATTTCGAGTTCAAATAGTTCCTTAACCCGTCAAATGGGTACAATAGTCTTTCCGCATTAATCAGTCTCGGTACGTACTCAGAATGGAGTTATTGAACTGTCCCAACTGGTTTATGTGACAAAAAAACTTTGACCTACATTGTTTGACCAACATCATCTCAGATTATTTGACACCCACCAACTTTCAACTGGTTTTATTTAAATCATATGCGCATAGAATTTTTAATTCGTCTTAATAAATATGGAAAAGGATCTTCTCTAATAAAGTATTGAATACCTCGTAAATGTGGATTTCTAATTTAGTTTTTGCGCATTATACATATTTTTTTAAACGATTGTCTTTCATTGATATAATGAGCATTGCTGAGTACTATATTTAATATCAACATACGAAACGACGTTGTCCATTGTCAAATGTCGATTAAAATACATCGTTACATATTTTGTTCCAGTCTATTCGATTGATCAAACATAATGGACGTTTATTTAAACTATGCAGATAGATAACTGATAGACTTCCTTGCTTATGTTATGTATTAGGCTATGAAAATATATCTACCTTCGTAACAGCTAGCGATCTTCAGTTAGACAAACTGACGCGACAGTATAATTACATTATTTGAGTGAAGGAAATTCTTAATAAGAGAGTATTATGCAATGATTTTAATAAAATTTCTGAATTGATTATAATTATGCAAGGAATAACATACCAATAAGAAAAGGGAGACAAGATTTTATCTGATATGTTTTAAATGGATGATTGTAAGGTACTGGGTGACATCGTGGATACATACTTGATGATGGATTAGTGAATGAATATTTAATCAATAAAAGTGATACATTTCTTTGTCCCTAGTTTTGAAGAGCAACAAGATGGCGATGAAAGAGTGGCTACAATGGCTGCCGCCGCCGAGGTCCCTGTTGGCGCTGCTGCTGGCTATAGCTGGCTTCAGCGGCCGGTTGTTCGCTTCGCACTTCACGCACTCACCGACCCTCCTCGTGGACACGTGCCACTCACTATGTCGGCTAGTCGGCCTCGTCACCACGTTGATCTCATACAAGGTTTGAATTCGCATTATTTTCTTTGTGCACCGAAATAGACAAACCTCTGTTTTGTATAAAAGAAACGTGACTGTGTTAATGTAGTTCAAAGTTCAGTCTGGATATAGATAAGATAAATTCAAGACATACCAAAATATTTGAGTTTGGAACAGATATGATAAAGATGCGCGAGTTAATAACTTAACCTTGCTTAATTTAATTATAATTAAAGTTCCTTTTAAAACACAAAATAAATAAAATAAACATTTGTGTAATACTTTTACATAGATCATATCGCCATTGTACCTAATTCACACTTCATATATTCTACCTCTTGGCTCATTTCACCTTTCATTTCGTGTTCATAGTTCGCTTTTATGGGATATTTTATGGGCAAATAAACTTGCTGATAACTTGCGAAATCACGAGTTCAACTGGTAACGTTATCTTGTGAAATGTTTCATACTCAAATAGTTTAATCTAACTCCTGGAATTATCACATCGATCTCACGGTATTGCGTGAAATCCTACGAAATATTCTCAGTTCAATAATCTTGAATATTCCAGTTTTCTCGAATGTCCCTTCATGAAAACTTGTAACATCTCGGGAATCTTATTTTCTTTTTTAAAAAACGTTACCCCACTCGAATATATTGTAGAAATACTTACTTCATAAATTTTCTCTTCAATTTAAGTACCATAGAACCGGCTCAGCTTACTGTTATACTGTTTTGCATTGTGCAGTATGAGCGCGCAGATGAGGGTGCTGGCCGGGAGGGTCGGTTAAGGAACACGTTCGGATGGGCGCGCATTGAGGTGGTGGGCCGCCTCTCCGTGCACGTCCTCTTCGCATCCTTCGCCTTAGCACTCGTGGTGAACGCGCTCCAGCTGGGCGTGCACTCCTCACACGGTCAGCCGCCGAGATACCCCAAAGTCATCGTCGGCAGCGCAGTCATAGGATTGCTTCTACACGCCATCAATTACATGTTATTAGCAGGTAACTTTAGTTCTGAGATTAGCAACTTACCTACATATTTTGTTTGTATGTTCGTAATTTCCTCCTTCCGGACATAACAAACGGCGTAACATAAAGGTGCATTGTTCTCTCTTTTGATTTGGATTGTGTCTTGTGTCAAACATCAATATTTTTAATATTATGTAATGCAGTGGATTTCTCATTATTATCTACTTAATATTATGGCACATCAGCATGCAATTAGTAGAATTTGTTGTCTAAAATACAGTAAAATAACCTTCCACCACAGTCACACACTCGTAGTTAGGGATCTGGTTTCTAAATCCAAATAAACACAGTTCCCATGCATCACCTAACACCTAATAGCGTGGTTTGTTGTTCAGAATTACTTAAAGTTAAGAATTTCTATAATAGGTCCAATAAGTTTTAAGTGTCATGCTTAATTTTTAATATTAATGTATAAATATAAATCGAAACTATCTTGAATAATCAAGATAATATAAATTAGACTGATTTTCACTCTTCCGGGAATTGATTTTAGTCTGGATTAACACATGTCGTTAAAACAAGAAAGAAGAAGACAGAGAAACAAAAACAAATCTTGTTCCAAGTATTAAGAGAAATAAGGTTGTAGGTAGCTCACTCACCGCACTTCTTTTATTAAGATCGTAGATAAACACAGTATATTTAGCTAAACTAATCGAACATTATCGTACCTAAGTATAATCTGAATTTGATTATAGTTTCATGTTTTCATAAATAGCTTTAACCGCTACAGCTAACCATTAGCTATGTGAATATAACATTACCTAATGCACAACACTTTCGTCGAAATATGGAAACATGATGGAATTATTTTACAAAGTGGTTTTGTTTTGTTACGGTACCGTATTGCGCCTCAAAAATAGTATAAAATATTTTTAAACAGCTAATATCTCTGTATTGTAACTTTCGTGAGACATACTAAATATGTTATATTGTTTTGCTTACTCACGTAATAATTTGACGACGAACTCGACTAGTTTCAAGCCATGCTAGAGGCTCATATTCATGAGCGCGCTGCTAAGTCGAGTTCCTCGTCAAATTATTACGTGAGTAAGCCGAAAATATAATAACTTATTTAGTAAATATCTCCTAGATGAATAAAGTTCTTATAGAAACAACATTAGATTAATATAGGCCTCTTCCAGCCTCCAGATTGGCCGGTTAGAAGCGCCCTGCATTCAACGATTCCTTTTTTCTTAAATTTGAAAACGCACTTACCGCCGCACTCAGAGTCATTTAATGGCTACTTAACCCAGTCCCTAGCAATTGTTTTCGGAACAAAACCGTTACTAAGGAATCGTATCGTTTAGGTATTCATTAAATATCTCTGAGTACTCCAGTTAGTATGTTTACATACTATGTGATGCGAATGCTATTAACAATCCTGTTAACTTAAGAACATAGAGAGGGTATGGTATGTCATAATGCGGATGTCGTAATAATTGCCAGAGTGCACCCATTATTAACGATGTTAGTGCCTTGGAAGCAAGTCTAATAGATACGCTTATTGGACACTCATTCAATATTAGGTAGGTACCTATCTTCGGTAAGTTTTCTTGAAATATAATCTTAATGAAATAAATACCTAATTACCGCGATTTCACATAGAAGTTTTATTACCCTGTACCAATACACCAAAATAGGATATATGTGGTGCTTTTCTAATATATTTGAGACTTTACAACACATTTCATTATTGAATGTTTCAAAGTTGCAATTAAGTAAAACTTAGTTGCTGACATAAATATTTGTGGACCGGCCTTTCATTAAACTATTCAATAGAAACATTGAATCGATTATAAAGTTAAGGTGTCTAGTGCTGTGCAAGCGCACGTGACAGCCTCTAAGCGCGTTATAAACATTTTGCGGAAGAAAATGGTCGGCTTTCTCTGTGTACAGAGCGCAAACCAAAACAATACTGTAGCACGAGAATTTACTGTACTACCTGTTCCGGGTCGTAATATAAATCTATAGCGTATACTGATACATACGTCTTTTCGCATCAGTCCGTATGAAGGCAATAAACTCAAAAAATGCTCGACGAATTTTTGTAGTTTTCGCCATTTGATAATGTGAGTGTGAACAAGGAAGGCTTCGGTGTATAATAATTATGATTTTCTCTACACGAGCAAAGCAAAGCCTGAGTTGAGTGAGTAATCTAATTGTTTGAACACCCCTTTTCAACAATTTTGATATTCATATATTCAAAAACTTTTGATCACGCGCAGTTGATGCAGGTGTATGGTTTTCTAAAGTTATCTAGCAATACATAATAATGTTTAAACAACTTTAGTATCTAGTGAATTATAAGTACCTACGTGCCTATGTAAATGTAAACACAAGGATATTACTCTTACCAAAACATAACATCGTAAATCAATGGCTTCCTCATAAAGTAGCTCGACAGTGCTCTGCAAACAATAGATATTTAAACACGCGTGAGACTGATTCTTGTAGTAAACATAGCATCTAACATTGCATAACATGCAAACTATAACAATGATCATGATGACATTATTAGCTACCGTATGTTTGAGGCTCCTCAACTGAACTACTAAACTCCAGTCACTAATTCACAACCGAAAAGGTAACGATGTCAGATTAGAAGGAATTTATATAGGATCTTTTTTATTTTGTAAGGTATAAGCTTTCTACACTTGTACCTAATACATATATAGTCTAGAAGAAAACGCTACTGTTTATTTCATTTAGTTCAGTCTAGCCAGAGACGTATTGTCTCTAAGGCAAATTAAGCAAATACTTAGGGCACAGCCTAGGGCGCTTAGTTACTTGTTGGCTGGATAATCTTGAGGCTAGAGTCTTGAATCTATCTGATAATAATTAAGAATAAACTTCAGCTGATATTTCAGTCATAATTTTAATAATTCTACGATGACAGAAAACTCAATATCCTCGTTTTGTGCAGTGAAAAACCTTTTTTTCCAAGCGATTACGGTTTCCGGAAGCCATTTTTTATAATTTCCTATTTTATCTCCTAGGGCCAGACAAACTTTGCGCTGTAAAAACATTCTTCGTTAAGTTATATTTTAAATGTCTTTACACTCAATTTTCCAAAACCGAACTTTACCATCCTAAAAAACTCTTAGATTCCATGTTTAGCAGTAATTTTACGATCAAGTCAAATCAAATGTTGCAATGTGACTTCTGGGAGTCTTTCTCAAAAATCAGACTTTCAAATGCAAAACATTTCTTTTTTAATTTAACTTTTGGCTGCTAGCTTTCTAAATATTATACTCTATGTTATAGTATATTAAACTATATTAGGTATTGTAGATTTGTGTTGATATAATCTGTTACGTATGTTTATAGGACGCGAGTTGAGCTACAGCCGGCGACTGAGCGTCACTGAAGGAGGAGGAGTTGTGCTGAAGACTGGATCTGGAGAGCCTGTACTTGCTCATGCTCCCACTGATATCGCCAGTAAGTTTACTACCTTAGTTCTATTCTAATAAAGTCCAAAGTGTATTCTACTAAGCTCCAATGTGGTGGCATCATCAAATGAATTCAAATGTCTTATTTGCACTTGTCCCCTGCGCCTCTGCTACAATAAGCTAAACCATCCAAAAATATTATATCATCAAATGTTTAACAAAATGAAATCCGTATAGAAATTATCTATTTATTTAAATTAGTCTTACCGTTATTATAATCAAAACAAACATAATATGTATTTATTATGCAGCAGACTTAAATGATTTAAATATCTAGAGCTCCCATGTCAGAGCAAATAATGATACAATTTAATAAAGTACTGCGTCAGCTAATTTCATGTAAATCGTCTACACGTGTTGTTTTATTAATGTTTGTTTTGTAACTGTTGATTTGAGATTGAGTCAGTTGTAGACTAGTAGCGTAGCGCGTAGTAAACATGACAAGGTATTAATGAATTGAATGAATCTTTATAATATAGGATTGATTGAATCTTTATAAGTGTAATGAACCTCTATAATAGTTCTTATTCTGTCAAACGCTTAAGGAAAATCATTAAAATATTTCGGCATGTCGTCTTAATTTAAATGTGTCCGTCTCTTTTGTCCCATTCCGTACCGACTACCTAATGATATATTTATTAAGCTTTATGCATAATAAATATTTGCATAACATTAAAATGTGTACAGAGGCCTAATTGAATTTTCGGATGATGTTGCAGATACAAATACTTACACTGGCTCACAAATTATTTATGACAACGGTTTCTATTTCCTTATGACAGACGTAGTATGTTAATAAATGTAACACTTACATTTTGCCAGTCAGAAGTCCATTTTAATGGTGATTTATTTTATAATACACCTGGCTAATCATATACCACGGTCCCAGCAAAGAGCAGAAGCTGAATCGAGGTGGTTTTCAGTCAGTAGAAGACTGGCCTTCCCGCCCCAGAAGTCATTTGATGATTTTTCCTGCAGATGAAGGGCACTACTGAGAATATTTTTATTTCCTAGGCAGTCTCTTCGTGATGGGTGCTGGCCTGACCAACGAATGGGAGCCAGTCGCTGCTCGCATCGCTGACCCTGCGCTCTCCGCTTGCGCAGCTATCGTTCTCGTCATCTTCAACTATCCATTCAGTAAGTGCAAACTGTTAAGAATATTCAGTAATCAACTAATCAGCTTGCATAGTTCAGTTGCTAATTAAGACTAAGAATAGGGTTAAACATCCTTATTTCCCAGCATCATCCTTCTATTCAATAAAATCGACATCATTGTGAAAAACATCTTAATTGCTATTGTTCTTAATGTGATACCAAAAGATTCCAGAACCTATGGGCACTTCTAATATTAATATCGTCTTACCACTATCTAGGTACAAATTATTGGACCTGAGGTAATGATAACCCGGCATAATATTTCGGGCCCTTTTTCTATAATATCGATAAAAATTATAACCATTTTTTGCATATTTAATTATTCTGGTTATACAACAATATAGAACAAAGGCTATCTTCAATTACTTAAATAAACCGTTGATTAGATTCTCTAAATTAGCCCAGACGGATATCAGAGTATATAATTTTTATTGCCACCGTTATATTATGTAGATATATGACGACCTATGTATTTGCCTGTTCGTATATCGGCTTTTTACCAGTCGTGATAAGATAACAATAATGTGTGGAAAAATTATAATAATTAATTACTGTTTGTCCGTTTGTGTGGCACGTGTACATTGATGAAAATGTATGAATTTTGTAAAATTATATGGGAAGTGGGTAATCGGTAGCGATGTGACTCGGTGTGAATCATTGCCCATAGTCCAATATCGTCTATTAGTCGTAACTGAAGTGGAAACAATCGTTTTCCGACGCAAGCAACGTAGGATTACGCAAATGCTCTGTAACCGTGGGGACAAATGGTCGATGTTTCCATTATTTCATAAGGGTGAGCTCGCTCTCCAACTGTTACGATCAAGAAATTTCTTCAGAATTTCATCACCACATTAAATCAATTCGTGACTATAAATTACCTTTTTCGTTTATCGATAACTTTGCTGAGAATAACACTAAACTTAATAACCTGCTTTAATTAGCTATAGTAGGTAGTAACGAATCAGTTTCGAAGATCGATTTGGAGACAAAAATATACAATAAGTAGGTACATAATAGACTATCAACGGCACGTATATTAATGTATGTAGATATAAGATGTAATAGTTTCGACTTTCGGTTAACAACACGATCGTATCATATCGTAACAATATAATGCTAGTAGCTGATATTAGTATCAGATATGGAGTTTACAACTACTGACTACAAATAGATTGTTAGATATTTTTATAGATAAGTGAGCTATTAAAATGACGAAAAGTAAAATATGTAGATTAAAATATATATTCCCCGCTACTTGACAATTTAGTTGTATTTTAAGAATAAGAAATACTAAAATATTATGAGGTACTTATCACTAAGTACTTACGTAATACTTACTGTATGCAGACTATTGATGAATAATTAGGACTAAGGAGAATGAAAAGGAAATGTACCAAATTAATAAATAATCTGTTACGTAAGTAGGGCCTTTAGCCAAACGCCACTTTAGCGCTTGTCTACAGAAAGAGTAGAAATCAAAATGTATGGGGATGACACTGACAAGTGTCAAAATTCCTTCTAATATTTTGGTTTCCTATTGTACATGTAGACAAGCGCCAAATAGCATTTGGCTACAGCTGCAGGTATACATATCAGTAAAACCAACTTGTTGGTCCTCAAAGTCATTGGTGTTTTCGCTTACTTTACTTTTTTACTGATTAAAGCGATATTTTTTTACGTGCAGTGCGGTCAGCGGGTTTGGTGCTGCTGCAGACTGTGCCGGAAGGTCTGGGCACTTGCGACCTGCGGGCCGCAGCGCTTCGGGTCCCTGGGGTCCTGGCCATACATGAACTGCACGTCTGGCAAATGCACCGTGACAAGGTCGTCGCCACTGCTCATGTGGCCTACAGCTCACACGAGGTGAATAACAATTGATATTTCCAACTTATTATAATGTTTAAAGACAGTTATTGTGTAAATGTTTGCCTATGGATCTAATTTTACCCTGACATCGTTAGTATAGAAATGTAATCAATTAATTATATTGACTTTACGCTGTGCTGTTCGTATGATTGTTAACAATAACTTATTGTTTTAATCTGTGGTAGATTAAGCATGCGCGGGGCCCGTAACAAATTACATTAAGGGTTTCTCGATAGTTAATTTTCATTTAAAAAAAACTCTGAAGCCGAAGCGGGTATGGTCTTCTGAGTTAATTTATCTGAATGTTGCAAGCTTTTTAATCCGGCTTAACTTGATCATAAGATTTAATCCGCATACAAAAATCTGATGATACATTTTATACCACGAATGTAAAGTCACGACTTTAAAGTAGCTAAGTTAATAAGTGCCTAGTAAGTTCTACAGCTTAGATAAGTTTTCGCCTAACAAAACCAACTTATGTTACGTTTCAGGATTACTTGAAGAGTTCCGCGTTAGTTTGTGATATATTCAAGCGTCACGGCATCGGTCTAGTCACGCTACAGCCAGAGTTCACACTCACCTCTATGCTAGGTAAGTACCCATCAAAATCGATCGTTTAGCACGTCAAATAGATTTTGAACCTTATAATTTTGCAATAAACTCTGAAATCTATTGAAGGACTGGGACTGTTTGGGTAGTTGTCTGTACAATTACTCTTGTTATGATTACGATCGCTGTTTTAACTTGTATTAGTGATAGAACTTTTTATTTTTACGCAGGTACAGATGAAGAGAAAAAGGCGTTAATAGACTTTGCGAATCAAGGGTGTTCGTGTCCGTGTGCCAAGGAGTGCACTGCTCCCAGGTGTTGTGAGCCACCTCGCCTGCCCACCGTCACTCGCATTTAGTTACACAATAACATACTACACTACCCGGCTATACATATTGCACATCGACCTTTGGAAAGACACAATCGGCCAAGGTGCCATGTTTACGATTGCCACTGACACCACTCTCCTCCGAATAAAAAGATTTACGATCCTTTCGAAGGAGAGTGGTATCACACAAAATTGTCTGTTTCCAAAAACCAATGTGCAATATTTATCGCCTGGTACTGTACATTATACGTGCATAGCAAGGCAGAATGGGGTATTCTGTACGTTCTTATACATAATACTATGTGATTTTTAATGAATTTGTAACTGGCAGAATTTGCCTTCCACAGTAAGAATATAAACCAAAGTAAAGATGCCTCTCACAAAGTGACCATTTCAGGAGATGTAACAATAATATCGGAACGGATAAATACTTAGATAGTGCAACACAAATCGATAGTTCTAAACAGAAGTTTTCTAACATATTTAATCTTGCCGTATTTTAATGAAATTGCGTTGTAAATAGTAGGCGATAAAAGTAAGTTTAATTTAAATTAAGTAGATAATATTCATAAAATTAGTCAAGTTGGGCGAAACCAATCAGTTTCGTATATTAACTGTAACGCTTACAGGTCCGTAATAATATACAAAACTGATTTGTTGGTACTTTAAGTCCGTGGGCGTAAAATTATTTTTCTACGGTAATTACCAAACAGTAAATGAATACATGTTTTGGTAGAATAAATACCTAATCACCTACCTTTGTGCCTAACATATAATTAATAGAGATATATTTTTTTAATTACTTGAAACAGAGTTCAATTAATGTTCAAATTGATTAACCCGTGGTATGCCGGAACGTAGATCTACGCGAGACACAATATGTTTCATATACCGACATACACGAAGTTAAGAGGAACGGATGTATATTTATATACGAAGGTACCCAAGTCCCTATCCACATAAGTTTACTTAGAAAAAAATTAAACATTATACATAAAATAAGCATAACGAAACAAGCTGTAAGTAGGTAGATATCTATAATTTAAGAATACAACCAAAGAAGCTTGTCTTGTGTCGCGGTAAGCGGCGAAATTTCTAATCGTGGTAAATAACAGAGTCAGCCTACAACAGTGAAAGTGTAATGAATAAAAACATGGCTAGCGAGCCACATTGTCAGTCAAGTGCACTCGCGCGCCCGTTCCCGCCAACTACACCGACTACCGACATCATCATAATACACTCTAATGACGAGTTATTGTTGTCAAAAAAAGGTATTGTTATGGAGCCATTACGATGACGAAAAAATCTTTTGTTAGCGGTGAAATTGTACTGCAACCGACTATTATATTAAGGAGAAACCTGTATCCAAACACATCAGTTCGCATGTAACTTACAAACAATTTAATCTTGTACGTATAATAGTTTACGTCAACCCATATCCCTATCTTCATAATATATTTAGGCTACTATAAAGTAATTAAGAAACGACATGATGCAGTCTATTTTGTTCCCTAAATGTCGTGCAATCGAAAACAACGACTTATACACAAGTTCTTATGAGACGGTTATAAAGATGGCGTACAAAGCGACTGTGATGTTCCTTTACAGTATTATATTAAGGGAAATTAGTTAGGCGATTCGTAGATAGTAATATTGTATTTTTATTGTCCATAAATAAGAATGTTAACAAATAATAATAGTTTGTAAGTGTTTTGTGTACAAAGTTTTTGTTGACTATTGATTTGAAAACAAATTGAAAATTAAATTGATTACTTAATATAATTATGTTGTATTTTTCTTTTAGTGTCTAGATATTCTACCCTAACGTAGTTGCTGGCTGAAGTACTTACTAAACTGGTACTGTTCTGTTAAGAATCCAGTAAAACGATCCATCAATTATAATTAATTTCCACCTACCTATATATATCTCCTGCGGGCTGTGAAGTGTTCGCATGTGCGACTGCCGGGCAAAGTATTACTGGGTTTTTTTTTTAATTTTCAGTAGTAGCACGGAGTCTGGAAGTGTGCCCGGTATATGGCAATTATAGGCTCACCCCCTATTACATAGGACTCATAACATAAATAGTAAAAAGTGGGTGCTGCAGTGGCATTCAATGCCGTAATGTGCACCTCTGTTTACCCCTTTGGTATAAAAGGCGTGATGTTATGAGAACCAGCATACTTAAAAAATACAAAACATTTTTACTCTTAGTCTCAATATACTTACGATCGAATACTGAAAGGCTACAATTTGAAGTTGTACTTAAATATCATATCGTGCCTTCTCTGTCTTTTTACAAAGAATTTGTAGTGACAGAACTATCGCGACTTATAATTGGATGACGGTTGAGTCTTTCAGCGTTAGTCAATAAGTCATTCGATTCGTAATGCGCTTGCGTACATAAAGTTTTTTAATGTGTAATTTCAATCCTTTATTGCAACTCTTGTAAACTAAAATCTACAGAGGAGACCAGCTATAAAAACTCTGAAACATTGTTGTCCCGAAGTCCCAGGGACAACCGGCTTGGATGCCGCACGTAGTGAAATAATCAATAATCAATAGAGAAGAAGACAATATTTAGTTCCCGTTTCCCTCGGGGTTACACTTTAGACGTACCTGTTTGACCTTGAACTTTCTAAAAGGTTTCTCTAAAATACATCTAGATCTACCCATGTGTTATTTCAATAACATTTTACCCAATAGCAAAAAACAAGTTAAGAACATTTGCGTTTTAAAGACAATAGAATGAATAGAAGGTACTTGCACCATCTAAGTACGTTAGGGAAAACAAAAAAAAAATACATAACAAAATATTTACAAATAACCAAGCGAAACGCAACGTCACCACACCGCCGAGTGAATAGTGAATAATAGCCCTTTACAACACAATTAGTTATGCATAATCATTTTCATGTGTATAACAAATGATATTCACTTCAATTGAATGACAATGAAATAAAACAATATTTGTTCCAACAACAAGACATTTATTAAGTATGTTGAGTAGATATTTATTATATTATATTTATTGTGATTACATGTGTTACTGAATCGACTAACATTGTAACATTGTTTGATTATAAGGACATTAGGTAAACATATGGGATAAATATTGCGCATTAATTTATGCGTACTACTAACTATTGAATGAAATGTGTTCTACTACTAAACATCTTACGTCTAATCGTCATCGTAATTAAGATTGTCGGCACTTTCAACCGAATTGTTTGAAATAACCTTTTGGCAGTGCGTTGGGCGACACGCGCGACTTTTCATTAGACGACGACAGCCTCTTCCAGGGCGCTGTTGGGCACACAAAAATATCATCTGTTATTTAATGCTGGGAAACTATTCTTCTCAAATAAGATCTATATCTCACAACCACAGCAGTACGTGCTTGTTCTTTGGATCCTAGCAAACCTACTTAAGTATTCCGTGACCCTCTTGAAAAGAACATACCTACCTAAAAGGAAAAATATGGAATGCCCAAAGAGAAAATGGACACCTAAGGGCAAACTCCAGAGAGTATAATAATATAATAGTTCACAAACCGCAGGGGATTTAATTTGTGTGAAAATTACAAAATTGTAATTTAATCAGCGTAGTGAATTTTCTCTATAATTTTTAACGGAAAAATGCAAATAATAATCGCACATGTCTACATGCGTATGCGTTACAAATCAAATTAGAATTGCAAATCTCGTTACATAATTAATATTTCGGTGTTAATACGGCGAGTCTAATGAGAGAAATAATTAAAAGTAAACCGATCATTAGACGCTTATCGAAATTCTCAAATAGCCATAAACTTGAAAAGATAAGAATACAATCTACAAAATAAGCAAGTTTACGTATTGGCTGCTAGTGCTACCGCTGGAATTCTCGGAACATTTAATATCGCTAAGTTAGGCACAGAAAATATAGAGATAAAGCGTACAACATCAACATAGCCGACATAAATAAATTCTACGATGTCGCATAAACTTGTAAAAATATCCTATCTACTCTTGTAAAGTTTTCCAGGCGCTGAAAGGGAAGAACCTCAAGTCAAAGTCTACTAATCATTCCCAAAATAAGAGACGCAATCAATCTAGCTGCATAGATTTAAATAAGCTAGATGCACATCCCATTGACAAATGTAAAAAAATCTTAATCTAGTCTTTCAGTTTCATGATCGATCGTCAACTTGTCTCTGTAAAAGTCCTAAAAATAGTAGGAAAGGAAAAGAAACATCGATATTATCACTTACCACGACCAGTCTATAATTAAGTTTGATGGCGAAGTCGCAATCTCCGATGCATTCGCTCCACCCCAACCAGGGTCCCGTCTCGCAGGTAACCGCCTCTACTGCTTAGCAATAACATTTATTCGCTAAACAACTACGAACATCAACAAATACAGGGGCGTCTCTAACTCTTATAGCGCCTGTGTGCAGTCAATATAATGGCGCCCTCTATAGATATCCGAGTGAGTTTTTTTCAGTACTTATTACCAAAAAGAAAATTTCTTTTGTGCGCGAGTACTTTTATAATATGATTTTATGGTATCACGATCTCTTAACATTCCTAGGTAATAGCGTCTTGGCGCCCAAGTAGCCTGCACGCCCTGCACTATAAGATTAAGACTCCCCTGAAGAAGATATAATAAAACGTAATTAACAGTAGTTTTTCATGCAGATAACTATGTCGAGTCCTCTGAATCTCAGTCATTTCTGGCAGCAATAGTGTTAGTAATTTAAATTAAAGATAAAGTTATTATTGATTCTAGAGGTAAGATCATAGTACTCACGAAACTTGATGAAATGTGTGTGATATTTTAATGACAAACTTGTACTAGGAAATTCACTAGCGCCATTAGCTTTGATAGACTGAAATCCTAGTCTCGCCAGACAGTTTTTACTTAAACAAATGTACTATTCTGAAGTGCCGGTTAGAGTATCTGGAAGAAGTGTCTGATATCGGATAGGAGCGTTCGTAAGTCAATAATAATTAATGTCTGGCGAGTCCCGAACTTAGTCTAACTAGCTTTTGAGATTTTAAGGCAACAAAAAGTTCCTCGACGACGTAAGAAATAAAATATGAAAGTGACTAAATAGAAATAATGAAATATATAGAAAAAATTCTTGAATACATTTACATGGTACATACATACATTCACATAAACGTGCAAGTTTCATTGACATAGTACTTGATAAACATACTTATGTAAATATTTTGAACAGTAGTAAAATGGAAGTATTAATAAAAATAATATAACTTAAAACATAATTATGAACAGCCAATTCGCGGGAAGGTTTCGAAGAGATGATTGTGTATAAGTAAACAACTTTAAAGTTTAGAACCCTAGCGAACAAATAGACGAGGTTCACTTCAAAAGAATGTTAGTATGTTTCCATAAAGTACCAGATAAAGTACATAGATTTCTGACTAGTTTTTAGTACAAGAGATTACATGCTTCATGCCTGCCAGATTGCATGCCATACAAACTTGCATGTCGTTTCTGTTTATTACATTCGTGCATGTAATATTATGTAAGCTACTGGCATGTAATTCCGATTTTATTTTAATAATAATACAATGTAGAGCAATTCATGTTAGCACCAAATCGAGGTACTTTTTATATTGTTGAAGCATTTCTGTTGCTGTTCAAAATCCCTAAAGAAAAAAGTAAACTAAGCGGAACGCAATAAAACACATGATTATTCATATTTAAAAATCAATTGCTGTTCGTTAGTCTCGCTATAACTCGAAAATAGCTGGACCCATTTGGCTTATTTTAGATTAAAAACATTTACGTGTTTGTTGCATTTAAGTGATCCGACAGAAAACCAAAATTATTGACATAGCCCAAAGGATCAGTAAGCTGAAGTGGCAGTGGGCCGGTCACATTTGTCGAAGAACCGATAACCGTTGGAGTAAACGGTTTTAGAGTGGAGACCACGTCTAGGCAAACGTAGTTTAAGGCGCCCTCCAGCTAGGTGGAGTGACGACATCCGCAAGGTGGCTGGCAGTGGTTGGATGAAAAGAGCTAAAGACCTCAGTGGCGTGCTATTGGAGAGACCTATGTCCAGCATTGGACGAATACGGGCTGATGATGATGACGTTTGTTTAAAGTTCAAATGGTGTGAAAATCAAGACTGTGGGGAATTCACGGGCACAAATACCTACTTATAAAAAATTATAACATAACTGGTGAAATGAAGGTTCTCTTCTATCTGATAATGGCAAGGTTTAAATGTAAGTACTTAGTTTCAAACAGGTATAAATAATGACTTACCATATAGTGGTGGTCCATCGTTCTGTAGGACTTCATTGTTCTCATGAGGTGGCGTCGGCTTCAGCTTCTTCATCGTTGTCATAGACTCGTTAGCGACGGTAGTCACTAGGAAATACATTCTACTGTGTTTACTATATCGAAAGAGCCCGCAAGTACTAGAATATTAATTGAATTCTTTATAAATAGGCCCAAATGCCCAATCCTTCTCCACCCGAACCCGGATCCCCCAAAAGGTCGGCATTTGTTGACAAATGTTGCGGATGTTCATGAGCAGCACCGATTACTTACCATCAGGAGATCGCTTAACACATCTCTTCCTCTTTTTCACCTTTATAGAGACAGGTATGGTCACTTACCATTCACCTCAGTAATGTTGACCCTAGTCACACAGGCTCGCAGGCAGTGGTCTCGAGTGCGGAAGTTGTTTCCGTTGCCCCCGCAACCACTGAACCCAAATGGTTCACAAGTCTTCTTGGCCCACTCATAGAACCA